GTCTATAACAATATAGGTCTAGCGCTATATCCCATCTAGCCCTATATCCCAGTACGTCTAAAGGCGTGGTACAGGGTCTTTCACTATACAGTACTGAACTGGTACCATATACTTAATATTTATTAATGTGTGGGAAAGGATTGCTGATTGCTGATAACTGATTTATGAATCGACATCACAGCACACCGGGCATACCCGTAGATGTTCCGTCTCCAGCAGCAAATGTCTTAAGGTGTAGATCAGCGGTTCTCAGCCTGCCGTCGCGACCCATTTTTTTTTTGGGGGGGGGGGGGGGGGGGGGTTCGAACAAACCTTTCACAGTGATTGCCTAAGACCATCGGAAAACACATATTTCCCTGCTACTTCTGTCACAAAATTTTCCTTCGCCTCTTTGGCACAGATTTTAAATGCAGTACTCAGGATTTGTTTATCTTAATGTTTTCGCTCAGTATCTTCATAATTTGCTGGTCTTATTTTTTGTGCTTTCTGAGAGGCAATCGTAGCCAATGTTTTTTGCTTTCCATGCTTTTTCCACCTGTTCGTTCCACCACGGTGGTTGCACAAATTGTGTTTTTCGTATCTTTTGTCTGGCTGTTTGCCGCAACGAATGCAATGCACTGATCTTTATTGGCCGTATATTTGAACGTGTGTCGTGGTTGCATTTCCCTAACAGCCAGTCCCTCTGTGACGAGAACAACGCAAAGCAGATGTAAACTTTCTTGCGCCCCAAGAACATTCCAGTACATTATGTGTTCATCAGTACTGGACGCTAAAGCTAGGTCGATCACTCCATCCGAGTCTCCGGCTCTCTCTGCTAATCTTGTGGTACGACCATCGTTTAAAACAGCTAAGCAAGTGCTTAATAGGGCTGACTCAGTGGCGCTTAATAAATCCAACTGGGTATCCGTTCAATTTTATAAACATGTGTATCTAGTCATCGATGTTGGATTTCATGCTTGATTTACATTGCTAAACCTCGGTTTTATGTTCCAATGGGATCACAGTAGCAGTCCTATGACATTTATTGATCTATTCATTTTTTTTTTTTAAATTCTGGTCCCCTGAAGCATGATGATGTTAAAGCCATTTACTATATTATGTAGTGTGTGCTTGTTGTTTTGCGCTTCGGCAGTTCCAATGTCTAACACGAATGAACTTAAGAGATAATCTGTTTTTCTTTGAGTCCTCCTCTGGCCAGATATTTTCTTTTTCTTCTTCCTCATTTGATTGGATTGAGGCTAAACTAGATGGATGGGACCCACGAGCAGCAGCTACCGCATCTCCTGCAGCTTTGCTCGTGAGTCCTAGCCATCTAGTTTAGCCCCAATCCACGCCGGGTGAGCGGCGTATGGGCTACTCTCGGCGGTGGCAGTAGTCGCCGGAAAACCGCAAATTGAGTCGCCGGAAGTTCGCAATTGACACGTGACTGAGGCCCTGTTTTTGGTCGACATCTTTTGTGCCCGTTATTCGGAGGATAGCCGGTCTGTGGATGCTACTAAAAAGAAAGCTGCGTTACCAATGCGGTACGAGCTGCGCCTTGTTCCGATCGTACTTAGCCGAGTTTCAATGGCCTAACAGCCACAAACAGCAGATTTTCGAGCACTATTTAGAACGTTTGTGCCATAATTTCCAGATATACAGGCCTACAATTATCGGTGAGTAGAGTAGTAGATTTGACATAACTTTTTTTTCCGTTCCTTATATGACACGTGAATGTGGCTCGAAAGGATATTTTGCGGCCGTCATATTTACCGACCGTAAGTCGGAGGATAGCCCAAAATTGATTGCATGGTTGTACATAGTTAGTGTGAGGGTTTAAAAAACGGTCGCCCCAGCAGTACCTCCACTCTTTGCAGTGGAAAGGACTTAGGACATTACATCCATCAGCCAAGCACCGCTTCTACAACAACCTGACTGCCTTCGTTAAAGACTGTACACCCAACAGCCAAGCAGTTCTTCGGCACGAAGAAAACACCTTGAACTTGGGTTTCGGACTGCGGACTGCCTACAAGGAGATGGTGTACCGTAGCCTAAATATCATGTCACAGTTTTATTAAAATTAAGCACGCATACCCAAATACGAAGTAGTTAAAAAACAAAACACACACACACCGCACGCATATATACATACACTCATACACCTGTCACACGCACGCTTGTCAGTGCAGCACACATGCCTACATATTTATGAAATTAAAAGGATAATTAACTGTATAATACAAAGGCTAATCGAGTAGAGTTGAACCCCTCTAGGAGTGTGCGATTAACACCAGGTGACTCAAGGAGACGCTATTTGGATGAGATACGTACAGGTACAAATCCTAGAAACTCCGTTCAGCTGTGTGTTAAGTTATGATTGAGTAGTCGATAGTTACAAAGTAGCCCGTAGTCCAACGGGGTTGGGTGTAAGTATTAATACCTTAACTCTCACATGGGTTGCCGCCGGTTTAAATGGCACGACAACTTATCGGAAACTTCAATCTAACGGTTCAACGGGGTTTCTGTGACTTGTAGGGAGCGGAAGCGAGCGCTCTGGCTAAACCCACCCCCTTCCTTTATGTGACCAGGTGATACAGTCGTTTACTTCGCCCTCTGAAGGGTCTTGGTTTCATTTCATGGACTGTGTCGTTCTGTACATGTGCATAATTTTGACTCCTCTTCGGAGTTCGTGCTTCATGCGACTCTCTAGGCAGGAGGCTAGTCGACGCATGAAGTCTATCCTCTAGACTTTAACGAATGAATTAATGACGTGGAACTCCTCTGGGACTGCATACTCAGTGACTAACAACCTTTGACCTAAAGAGCCACTTTTCAGCTGAGAATCTTCCAGGTACATATACTGGGAACCCCGTTAAACCGTCTGACAGTTATTTCGGGGCTGTTGCCAAGTAACCTGTATGAAAGTAGCCGGAACCTATACTTTAACTTATATGAGGTTAAACATACAAGGTCCGACAATTAAGTAATGAGACTGATTTTAATATGATCGAGACAAAAATGCCATTTGTGGAAGCAAAGCTTGGAATCTAAAGAGGTAACATTCATCTATGATCTGGCAACTTTTCATCGCCGCTCGATAAGCAGACAACAAACAAGCCGCCATTTAGTTGACCTAGTCAGATGTGCATTGTTACATAATCAGCGCGGAGCAAAAAGCTAACATTAAATTCTTGTTTAAACTCAGAAAAAGCGCCATTGAAACAGTTCAATTGATGCAACAAGTTTATGGGGATAATTGTTTATCTCGTGCACAAATTTTCAGGTGGTATTCATGTTTCAAAAGTGGCGTGGAAGTGATTACTAATGTACCTAGACCTGGACGCCAAATATTTGTTAGTAATGCTGAATTCATTGCAATAGTCATAGAACGGACACAAGAAGATCATTGTTTTACTTTGAGGACGATGGCAGATGAATCTGGTGTTAAAAGAGAGACCATTCATAACACTTTAGTGCAAGATTTAGGCAGGAAAAAAGCTGTTTGCCGGTTTGTACCACATTCGTTGTCTGATGACTAAAAACATCAGTTAACCCAAGAGACATCTACAAAAAAAAAAAAATTTTTGGCCCAAGAACAAGTGTGTGTTCTTAGCCTTCCACCCTATTCCCCAGATTTGTCTCCCTGTGATTATTTCATATTCCCAAAATTAAAGTTGCGATTGGAAGGACGCTTTTTTAATGATACTGATGACTTAAGGACCATAACAAGAGAAGAACCATAGAGGTCGTTCCAGTGTTTGCTAGATCGTGCCACTTACTGTATCAATGCACAAGGGGCTTACTTTGGATAAAATACAGGTTATATCTTCAACTTTGGGAACAAGCACAGGTGGCAGAAGAGAAACAAGAGTATTATGGCTTGGAGAGAATGAGGCACCTGGGTGTAACTACAGGGTTAGACCGGCTCACTACACTCAGAGGAAAGGCAAGACGGACATATAACCAGATTTCGACCGGTACTATTAGTTTTGGAAATCTGCGCTGGCTGCTGAAGATGAGGACGGGGCACGAAAGGGAGCACCCTGTCTGCTGTGACGTTAACTCTTGGCTCAGCTCAACTCAACGTAGTCTGTGAGGTTTGCTCCTGTTAAATTCTTATTTAAATAGTGGCTTCTGTGGGCTACTGTGTGTGTAATCTCATAGAACGCATTCCTGGATGTGGGTCTCGGCCAGGGGTGTGGTTACGATTATCAGCAGCACTACTGTTTTTGCCAAATATCTTTACGCAGAGTGGTAATTTCCCACCGTGGTGTAGACAGTGCAAAATGTCCTTATTAATGGCTTATACACAGTTATACATTAGTGCCTGGTGGTTTTTTTAATATGTCACCAAGGCGTTGACATTAATTTGTCATGTTCTTTTAAAACTTTACGAATTTTATTAATGTTTGTATTATTATTTATTTAATATTGTTATTAGTAGTTTTTGTAGTTTAGTTTAAAAAGACACGACAAATTATTATCCTCGCCCTAACTGAGAATATTTTTTCTTATAAATTTTGTAAGGTGGAGGTGGGGGACGGATGAGGTTAAGATAATTTAAATGCACACATTTAAAAATAAGATGTAACAAACTTCAAATGACGCTATGAAATAGATACCCCCAATGCTATGATTTATCAGAATTGATTTGGCTCTTAGAGATGACGCATCAAATAGTCTTTTTTTGTATGTGTGTGCCTAGCTGACATTTGTAGAAGTTGAACTAAAAGCAATGTTCTTGAATCTGGTTTGTCTAAAATAGTCATATTTTTTGTGTTGGGCAGTAAGTGATCTCTTACACTAACACCCTCCCCCACCCCCCTCTTTTTTTCCCCCTTTTCTTTCCCCTCTCCCGCCCCCGCCCCACCTCACCCGATCTTTACCGTCTTCGATAGCTCGTACATACTGAACACATGGCAACAAATTATCCCGTTCATGTTTACTCCATGTTTTTATCCTTGCACAATCTGCGCATGTGCAACAGGAAGCGAAAACTTCAGCTTTGCAAACATCCGAAAATGGTGAGAGAAAATAAGGGAGTTAGCAAGCTTTCTTTTTCTGCAGTCTTGTCTGTCTGTCATGCACATCTTCTACACGAATCATACATTACCCATAATCTAATCTGTATCTGTTGTTCCAATAACAATAACGTAGCTCACAAAGAAATCAGTTTTGTCGCTTTTACACAGACTGGGGAGGAAAGAGCCTACAACTACCTGAAACTCAAACTCACTGTTAAAAATGTTGTTACTGCTGTTTGTTTATTTTTTTTTAGCTTATACTTATAATCAAGACGATTACTTTTTCTTTTTTCAAGTAGGCTCGCCTTAATATCACCTTGTCTTTATGTCTTCTGCGCCTGCACCTTTTACACAATCGTGCATTATTACCTACACGGTCAACTTTGTCACTTTGTGTATTATTATTATTTCAGCAACGATTAAAGTCCTCACAGAAGGATAAAGTTCGTCAGTTTGTTGCCTTTACACAGACTGGAGAGAAGACAGCTATCAACTGTTTGTGTGCCCATGACTGGAAACTCGACGTCGCTGTTGATAATTATTTCATGGCTCCAGACCGGTACAACGCCACTGAATCCCGTTCTTCTGTGGACAAGAGGAAAATAGAGGCATTATGGCAGAGATACAAGGGTGAGTAGCCTCAGTAGGGGAGGCATGATTAGGTGTACTATTGTTATGATTGGCAGTATGTTTAGATAGTTTTAACAGTAGTGTTAAATCTCAGTCATGAGTGGAATGAATAGTCCTTATTATAGAAGTAAGCAGAAGTGTACATATACTTTCATTTTCACTGTATTTAGTAACAAGTTGGGCTCTCCTCCGAACTTCTACCCCCGCATTATGGAAGCCTGAAATATGCCTGCATTAGCTTGATCACAGGATGGCTGTTGGAATATCGGTGTCAGTTTTATCACCTCATAGGGTAAATTATGCTTGTGATCTGCAGTCTTTTCATTGTTGACTTCCTAAATCTACAGTCAAAATTTTATACAAGGCATCACCTGAGTTCATAAGTAATAAGAACTCCACACAGTGGAACAAGCATGACAAGGTTCTGATCGCCTGAAGTCCTCCTTTGGTGAATGTTCTGGTCCCATTACTTGTGTGATATTATATGTAAGTTTAGCTTGTAGGTTTCTAAATGCTAAAGAGTAGTCTTGGATGTGTCACACAGATCAGGGTGTGGCAGGTTAGTCAGGTTATTAACTATTTGTCTCATACAGGTTTTACTTCAATACTTTGTGTCCCAGAATATTGTATACTTGCATAATAATCTTAAATTTTACATGAGTTAAAATAATACAACTGTGAAACTGTTGGAGTTGAAGTAACAGTTGGTGTAGATCACAGCTATTCATCTAAATTTTCTCATAGGCATTTAACAAAATGGGGATTGTCAGAGACCTGAGCCCCAGAATAGAAAGATCATTAGTACAATACAGCTAGAAATGATTCACCGGCCACTTGCTAAACCTTCCATATTTAGCCAACTGGCCATCTGTTGAACAGCCCTGGTATAGCTCGATTAGCAAAACAGATATCAACGCATATATACCATGTGTAACTTGAAAAATAAACGTATGCTGATTTTACTTGGTACTGAAAGAGTCAATTTGTAGTAGAAATAGTGCAAAAACGGCATGTATTTTATGTTTATGCATATGGGGATGCTAGAAAAGCAGTGTGTGTGATTTCTGAGCTTAAAAAGTACAGAATCTTTTTCTTTGTTTTTAGGTTTTGAGTATGTGGTGCCAGTCACAAATTGTATGTGCTAATTGCACATGACAGAGAGTGCAAGCATTGTCAGGCTAATGGGTGGCTGCATGAAAAAACTTTGTGGGAATCACTGTTTGACACCCTAAGGAGAAATCATATGCCCCGTTGTGTGTGTGAGGAAATTCTTTAAGACACATGATAAGTAGCTACTTGAGGATATGTATTCTGTCACATATCGCTCCTGTCGCGTGCCTGATTTAAGGAATTCTCCTTAAGAACCAACAGCACTCTGAAATAATTATGTTGAGTCGTTGGCTCCTATTGGTCTAAGGGATGCCCCGTGGCCAATATACGCTCAACTTATTTCAGGAGTAGGGCAACTCAAGTTTTGGCCCCGTGGCCAATATACGCTCAACTTATTTCAGTTTTGGCACTACAAAATATATAATATTCCTAGGCACACTTGGCTGGACACCCCCACTACTATAAAAAGATAGCCCTCAGGTTATGATAGTATACTATCATTACCATGTTAACACAGATAACACTTATTACTCACACAAACATCAAAGCTAGACAGTTAGAATGGTGAAATAGGGACACCCAAGTCAGCCATGAAAATTTATGCATGTAATCAGTACAATATATACATAAAATAGTGAATAGATAAACAAGATCTCAGTGAATGGAACTTAGGACACAATGGCATGACCCAGATATTGAAGCAGCCAGATTGCCTTGAGATGTACATGAGTTCATCCTAGGAATCTCAAGGTACTGTGGGAAGAGAGCATGGTAATGAATAAGTGATCGCTTAGCCCAGTTCGTAGGTCGATGCTCCCCTCAGTCCATGGTGATTCGACTGTAGTTGACTCAGGTATCTTTGCCTCTAGTTGATCTGGTACCGGTTGATTTCCTCACCATCGAGGACACAGGAACTGCATAGGGACTCAACAAGTCTCTCTCACAGGTCAGGTCACAAAACTGCCTCAGAGCCCAACCAAGCTCTTGAAGACTGGTTCACTAGATTGATGACACAAATGTCGGCAAATGTCCACTCATCCTGGAGCTCACAAACACGCTCTTGCTATGTTGAGGTAGTGGCCAAAAAGGGTAGGACTTCTGGTTATTCTTGGTGCATAGAATGGTATAGGTTGGTGGTTGTTGGCTGGACTGTGATTCGTCTGCCTGATCTCTACAGAGGTCTCATCCTGTCAGGAAAGAACTCAGAATTAGTAATCACTAAGGAGGTATCATCCTGTCAGGAAAGAACTCAGAATTAGTTATCAGCTTTAATCACACATCAGCTCACCCCACATCTGCTCCTCTTCTCCACTCCTCAGAGTGTACTCTCAAGACCAGGAGACAATGTCTCCTTTCATTTATCTGTCTGTAAACTAGTGCAACAGATAGAAAACCAGATATATATATAGTGGAGATAGATAGACACTACCACACATAGATCATCCTCTCTCCACCCTCACATCTGCACTCGCAGACATACCATGTTCACAGTTAGTACCTATATATATATCCCGTCTCCACAGGCCGTTCGCTACACACCCACTGAATCTGTGTCGCAGAGTGCTTAGCCCTGACTGCCGGTTAACGATGACCTAAATTCCCTGTTCCAGTTATGCGACACAAAACTTCATTTGACTGGTCAGAGAATAAGCACTTGTAGGGTTTAATATCTTTACAAATGGTGTGGGTTATGTAGAGCACCAACTAATTAGTCTGTACAGGGGAAGGTCTAAGGTTCGGATCCTGATCTCTGGACATCAAGAACGGTCGAACTCTGTGCGATCACACAACTGATTCTGCCCTCTCTTCAGCATTGGTCAACTTTAAAAAGACATCAATTATGGTACTCGTAAACTATAACCAACTTACCCAAACTTAGGAAATCTTCCAAGTTAGAACTGGAACTATGAATGCGCCAAATTCTTCAAAGACTGGATATACGTCTTGACACTTTGGGATCAGGCGAAAGAATACCTTTTTCAAAATCAAACCAGCGTCACCAGGAAAGAAGTTCCTTGTATTCCTGAACAAGGAGTAAACCGGTTGACAGGAATTTCTAAATAAAATACCAGAATTCGCTAACCTACAGTTGCCAGTTTGAAAATGAAGATATATCAAAGCAACTAGAAGGTCTAGAAATGACTATTTTACCAGATAAAGGTATAGGTCAATATAAGGGACCATTTACCTTTCCAGACAGGTCTATGTTTGAAATTTTGCTGAGCGCGAGGGATATCAAGTCCCGACTCGTCCACTGTGTATGGTGGCTGTTCAACTCATGACAGCTACTATGATTGTGCTTCTGCTTCATTATGCTAGCCACTGAAGACAGCTGAAGAAGATTCTTGACAGCCTTTTGTCATGGCATTGAGGTGTGTCCGCATACGCAATTGATTCTTGTACATTTGCCTTTAAAAGGGCAGTTGGCATGCTGTGTTGTGGTTTACAGCCTTTCATTTCAACATATCTGATTTTAGCAAAGCCTAAGTAATGGCCCTTTGTGACATTCTTGTTAACAAAGCAGGGGGTTATTCCCCCTCCCCCAAATGGTATCTTGGCATCCACACAGGAGAGCATGTGAACTGATACATGCGGTTGGGATTCTTATGTTGTTGAGAGGCATGATTACTTTAGGCAGTTGATAGTAACTGTAATATATTGATAGCTTTTGCCAGAAGTGTGTCAAGAACAAGGCTGTCAAATATGCTGAGTTGTAGTGTGATAAGGAGGGATGACTAGATCCCTTTCTTGTGCCTTTACTTCCTGGAGAATTTAAGTATTATTGCTTACACTGGGTTAGCTTCAGAGGTGTACTGGTTGGAAAAACATTGAATCTGGTCACATTCAGGCTTTGTCTAAAAAAAAAAAAAAGGCAACAACAAAGAAGAAGAAAGGACCCACTGCTTGTTAACCCTTTTAGCACGGGAAGTTTTTCAGAGGTCTAGCCAAAAACACGGAGCATTTTTTCAGTGAATTTGGTTATTACTTTATTAAATTTTTTTGACAGATTTCTGTTATTCTGACCCCCATGAAATAATATATCTATTTGAAGGATATAGATTGAAGTTCATGATTTTCACAATATCGTTAAAATTAATTGATGTATATGCAAATTATCTCATTTGCATATCTAAAAATGGAAAATATGAATTTGAATTTTCAACTTCAATGCTTGAAACATAAAACTAAAAACAAACATTTTTTTTATTTGAAATCTTTTTATTGATCTTTGGCCTTTTTGCAAATGTTGTAAGCAATTCAATAGTCAAAAACAGGTATATATATATGAAACAGCAATAATATCTTTAGGTGACATGTGTTTTTTCACCATCAGTCAGCACAAGAAATGGATGTGCCGGAGTGTCAACACCTTTGGGTGGATATACCCTGAGCCATGGTTGGGCTATGGTCTGAACACAACAGCGTCCCCATCTGATTCCCACTATTACTACTAACACTAAATCCTGCATCAGTATCAACAGAATTAGTGTCATCACTTGATTCAAATGTTTTATCAACATCAAGTTTAGGGGCAGAAACATACGAGTCAGACATACTTTTAGCGGTTCAGGTCACTATCTAAAAAATTCAACAAAAATTTTCACTTCGATACCAAACACTCGAAAGTTGCCATGTGTAAAGCTGATACAGCAGTTAATATAAATGAATCACTTTCAGTGTTTCAAAATAGGAGATTTCTTAGCGGTTCGAGGCGAAACACGATCGGGCCGATGATTGGCCGTTCCGTGTTTTTGGCCAGACATCCGCCGGCTGATAATCGGCCCGTCCGTGCTAAGAGGGTTAACAAGCATGTTGAAACAGGCAACTAATCAAGAATTTGCAGAAATTGAATACATTAGGCCTATATGTGCAGATTTAAGTTTAGCTGTAAACCACAACTTGCCAACTGGTTTTTCAGGGTAAATACAGAAGAAGGTGACCACAACACAGCCACAGTTTATTTATGCAAATGAGATGTAGTCCATCTGTTGCTGACAATCTTTTGTTGCTTGCAGATCCAGGAGATGATGAAAAGATGACAGTGGATGGTGTAATGAGGTTTTTGGATGATCTGCAGCTGAGTCCAGAGTCCAGAACAGTCCTGATTCTTGCCTGGAAGTTCAAAGCACGTACACAGTGTGAATTTTCTAAAGATGAATTTATCACAGGAATGACAGAAATGGGGTTTGTGTCTCTGTGCCGTGGTTTCAACATTTTGTTGTCATTATCTATATCAGTATTATCATTAGCTAAATTTCAATAATTTAATCAATCAGGTGCCGTCTCCACAGTGAAGGTTACCTGCAGCAAATCTCCAAAATGTTCTCTCTCTTATCTTGGTCGTACGCTCTCTCAGACTTCTATTTGTTGATTTCTTGATGTTCTCCCATTTGTATTATTGTCTACCTCTTGGTCTCTTACCCTCGACCTTAGACTCCAGTATGGTTTTTAAAAGATTGTTGTCTTCTAATGTGGCCAAACTATTTCAGTAACTCTCTTTTTATTTACATTCTCTCTAGAACTTCTGTAAATAATTTGTGCATCTTACTGAAGATGGTTTCAGCTATTTCTTTTATCTTTTTGATTTCTGTTTCACTTCTGCCCAAATCTTTTATGATGTGTCATTCTCTCTGTGTAATTTTCTCCACTAGAGCCTTTAAATTTTTTGGTTTATCCTGAAGATTCTACAGTTTTGGTTTGGTACCTCTGTTGTTATAAATAGGTTCTCTGTGTATTCAGTCCACTGTTTAATATCATTGTTATTAGCTATAATATTTTTATCTTTAGCACTGATGCAACCATTTCCTGATAATGTTTTCTCATGTTTGTGAGTCTTCTTATGTTTTCATGCACTTCTTTTGTGTTATGTTTCCTTTTTTGATCCTCTATTTCCCGGCTAAACTTCAGTAGATCATAATAGATTACTTTTCCACCTCACATTTCGTGTTAGAATGTTTGCTTATGTATAGGTAGTCCCGTGACAGATACTGCCTTTGGGTTGTGTATGTAGTGTAAGACGAATGGCTTTCAATCTTTGGCAGGTAGTACCCTCCCCCCCCCCAACCCCCGCAAACCGGTGGGGGAGATAATGCAAGACCTACCTTTAAATTAAAAATAAGATGATGTATAGGAAAATACTGCGCACTGTAAACAACAACTTGAAGAAAAAGTTCACATAAATCAGAGTGTCAGATAACAACAAAAACCCTCCTCAACTGGTAATTTAGTATCAAGATGTCACTGGAATCTGACACCGTTTTGTCTTGATATCTTCAATTTTTGGTCTGATGTTGGACACAGCACTACAGAGATTACTCTCCACATCAAACTGGCAGAGTTGATCCCAGAATTGTGCTACCACTTATGGGGGTTGAACTTTGACCACTTTGTTGGTAATTGAACCCAATTCATTTTGTTAGGATTTAACCTAGACGACTTGGTTAAGGATTGAACTTAAACCACTTTAATGATGATTGAACCTAGACCACTTTGTTGATGATTGAACTTACACCACTTTCTTGCTTGAACATAGACCACTATGTTGACTGAACCTAGATTACTTTGTTGGTGATTATACCTAGACAACTTTGTTGGTGATTGAACCGAGACCACTTTGTTGATGATTGAACCTATACCACTTTCTTGCTTGAACATAGACCACTATGTTGACTGAACCTAGATTACTCTGGTGGTGATTATACCTAGACCACTTTGTTGGTGATTGAACCGAGACCACTTTGTTGATGATTGATCCTAGACACCTGTGTTGATGAGTGAAGCTAGACCATTTTGTTAGTGATTGAAGCTAGACCACTTTGATGGTTAAAGCTCAGTTCATTTAAATGTTCAGCAACCAGTCTCAGAATAAATCTGACAGAATGCCTCTGTTGGTGATTGAAGCTAGATCACTTTGTTGGTGATTGAAGCTAGATCACTTTGTTGGTGATTGAAGCTAGACCACTTTGTTGCTGATTGAAGCTAGATCACTTTGTTGGTGATTGAAGCTAGAACACTTTGCTGGTGATTAATTTAGACCACTTTGTTGATAAGCAAGCATACACATTTCTTAGACGCATCAACCTCATTTGTTTGTGTATTGATTGATTGTTCACTTTTCTTTTGCCGTACACAGTGCCTGAAAATATCTAATTCTTGTCAAAAGTATGTAGTTTCAGTAGCATTGTTTTCTTTAAAACAGTGTAGCTATCAGTGTCAGTTAAGATGTAATGATTTGTCAGTAATGCTGCCACATTGTATCATAAAACAAGTAATATATGATGACTAAAATAATAGAAAATAAGTGTGAATATTTTTACTTGAACCCTAGTAATATTGCCTCTACCACCGAATGCTAAGCAGCAGTACACACTCCTGTTTAAAGTTCAGTGCACATTTCAACTCTCGGTAGAGTTTTATCTGGACTTAACATAAAGTATCAAAGTGTTTGCATAGCCAGACATAGGAAAAGCTGTGGAAGCCTTCTGCAGCCATTACACTCTATATGGATCCATCCCTGGAACAACCATAGAGGACCTGCATTTTCATGAAAATGGCATTGGGCTTCCATCAGTGGACAACTTGGCAACACTGCATCACCATCTTCAAATCTTGCAGTTACGATACATGAGAAGGAATAGTTCATGGTCCAGTGCCTGATGGATGACAGTGGCTTTTTCTTCTTCTTCTTAAAGTCCATACCATTTGGTAGTCCATATCTACCCACAACCTTCTGCCTCATGTACATTCAATAATTTCTGACTAGCTGATCCATCCTCCATGCCATGATATCAAATTGACCAACATCTTCTTGCTCTCACTGTTGTCTATAATGTTGTAAAGTGGTGTTCTTCTTAGACACCTTACTTTATTATCAGATTTTCTTAGGTGTGGTGCTTGTGTTGATAACTGATTATACTGCATTCTAAATTAGATGCCTAATGAAATGTGATCTTCTGTTTGTCAGTGTATTCGACACGAGGTGTTGTTTTCACAAAATGGCACAAATTATCAGCAGCAGCACGGTTAGCCATCACACTTGAGTAGTTTCTGTGACATTGTTAAGCCACTTTGGTCATTGAACTTTATAAGTAACATAAATTCGCAGTGAACTGTTATTGTTATGAAAATGTGTTGTTCTTGTTTCCCCAGATGTGATTCTATAGAGAAACTTCGAGCAAAATGCAACACACTTGAGCTAGAGATTCGTGATCCTGCCAGTTTCAAAGATTTCTACCAGTTTACTTTCAACTACGCCAAAAATCCAGAGCAAAAGGGTTTAGGTATTGAATGTTTTATTTAGTGAATGCCAGAAGCTGTCTGGCTATTTTCTAGTTAATATCAGCTAACTCTGATTGGTTTTTAATGAACATCCCAGAATTGTTGATTTTCTATTGACTGTCCAAAAGTTGTTTTGCTTGTGGGTACCATCTAATTACTTTTGGACAGTGGTGCAGGAGAGCTTGGGAGCAGTTAAGGTGTAATTGGTTACCTATTAAGATAAGGAGTGCTTTAAGCTTATTTCAGGCTTCTACCAATTTACTTTCATTTTTATCAATGATTCTGAGCTGTTGATTTTATAAAGAATCTGTTTTTTTTTTAAAGTAAATGTTTGCCATAAAGGTGTTTTTTGTGAGTGTTTGCGGTAAATGTTTTCTGTACAGCTGTTTTCTCTGTGCCTTTTAGTTGTGAATGTCACAAATAATGAGCCCATAAATCTGTTATCTAATTATATTACAGTGCAGACCTGATAAGGGAACACAAGAAATAGTTTTTCTTTTCTGAAGTTTTTCTTATCCAGATAAGAATTCAAGCAAGAAATAACAGCAATTTGTCACATCTATAATCACCTTAAGTGGTCTGTCCTATACATGGTTGTTTGTGACATGTTAGCTCCATTATTTGCTAGCTTGTCACTGTTTAGTTTAGGTGCATAAGTGCTGAACCAAACTGGGCAGTCCACCAGGACCAGGCTGATACTTGTGTCCGCACCTTTTCCTTGGTCCTCCTAGAAGCAGGATCCCTACTGGGGATCTGGTCAGTGTGGATAGGATCAAGTTTTCTTCAAAGTCAGAGTGTATCTGCCTGAGAGGCAAGTAACCAACAGTCTGTATATAAATAAATAAGCTCTGTTGAACAGATGTGCATGCAACACTCAAGTCCTGGAACAAGACGAAAATTCAGAAGGGGAGGAATAACTAGGAATTTCTGCCAGATATTGCAGCTGGTGAATGGGAAGAAGAGAAAGGTACTTTCTATCTCATTTGATGTACATATCATTAAGCAGGCAGTACATGTAAATGTCTGTTCCGCATGGACTGACTGAATATTTGAGAACATTTCTGGAAACTTTTCACTTTAAATACCTCATTTTTTGTTCAGATCAAGACATGGCCATTGCATACTGGAATATTGTACTCACAGGCAGATTCAAGTTTCTTGATCTTTGGTGCAAGTTTCTGCAGGTGTGTTTGTATGTTTAACTTGTTGTATTTGAGGTTTAAACTGTTATGTGGAGTAAGCTCTTACAGTTTACAGTTAGGTACATTGAGATGGCAAGAAAAGGTATTGCAGAGATGTAGGAAGGTAGTGTTGAAGCCCTAGTTTTAAAGAACAAAGATACTTAACTGTCAAGGAGTTCCTTTGAGTAAGTTGGATAATGGAAGCATAATATGATAGTGACAAAACTGTTAAAGTAAAACTTGACCCCAGTTGATGCAAAGATAAGATCACTGATCCCTATAACAAAATGGTTCGTGTTTTGCTGACAGGACCAGACCATGGACAGTGTTCTAGAGGTGCGTTGGTGAACTATAACAATGACAAAATGCTAAACTTTTTTTAGTGGTATTTTCAGACTTCTGTGGTGATGTATTCGGTGGGCATTATTGAGATTATGTCAAAGCAACTCGCTTTAAATCTGTTATCTCTCTGTCAGAACACATCCAGTCCTCGGCGGGAAAAATTCATAGATTTACATATGTCCAACACAAAAATAGAGCAGTTTTGTTAATCAAATTTCACTTGTACAATAAGTGGCAATATTTAAATAAACAACTTCTGTAATCCGTTGTTGCCTCTTAGTCTGTAGGCATACTTTTAACTAGGGCTGTACCGAATATTCGCTTCGTATTTTTGCTTCGGGGCCGAATAGTGGACCTAATAACTATTCAGTATTCGGCCGAATAGTTGCGGTCGGGCCGAATACGAATAGTGGTTACCTCACACCCGTTTCTGCATACACTGCGATAGACTGAAATAACTCTCTCATTAACACCATAGGTACAGAAGGTACAGAATGGCGACATTCGAGTAACCATTGAAACAGAAGTGAATAACTACCTGTCAGAGCCGCGAATCCCAAGAGACACTGACCCACTGGACTAGTGGAAAATAAACATGTTAAGATTTCCCACCTTGGTTCATATTGTCAAGCGTTATCTTTGTGCACCACCTACCAGGGTACCAAGTAAACGTCTGTTTAGTACAGCTGGAAATACCTTCAGTGGGACGAGAAGCTGCCTTGATGCTGACAACATGAAACGATTGGTTTTGTTGAAAGCTTATGCTGCTTTCATGCATTAACTAAGCTGTCAGTGACAATTTACAAGTTTAGTTACTTGTTATAAAACTAAGAATACTTTAATTCCTAGGTATTAGTTACCACAGACTGACTAAAGGATGCAAAACATAAAATGTTTATGTTTACTATTCTCTACTACATTTTGTGAAGTAAAATTTCAGCGTACATTTGACATTATGAATGTTTTTTTCTTGCATCTATTTTATACACTATACACTATTTGAAAGTGGAAGAATGGGCCTCAGTTTGAATAGTGGGAACAGAAGTAATGGTGGTATCAAAGAACAGAATTATTCCTAAATGGTGTTGTTTTGGGACAAGTACAGATGGAAGATGCATAACTGAAATAAGAAACTGAATAAGAGGCAAAAACTGCATTTTATAAAATGAAGAACATCTTATGCAATATATCTTTGTCATTGAAGGTTAGAAAAAAGAATTCTCACTTGATACATACATCCAGTTTTAACTTATGGTTGTGAGTCCTGGACAATCGGCAGGCAGACCAAACAATTTCTTGAGGCCTCAGAGATGTGGTTTTACAGAACAATGTTGAAAATACCTTGGACAGCCAAAAAAAAAAAAAAAAGGCTCAAAGAGGTTTTGAAAGAGGCAGGAGCCCAAAGACAACTAATCCCAGACATCAGAAGGAGACAATTCTCGTGTTTCGGCCATGTTATGAGAAGAGGGAAAGTGAAACATGTGGTGACCACTGGAAAGATATGTGGAAAGAGGGATGGAGGAAGACAATGAGAGAAGATTCTTGACAGTACTTGCTGCAGGAGATCGCAGATTGTGGCGAGACACAATCGCCCACGTCAGTCGGCAAGCCACCTGATAATGATACACACTATTCGTATTGGGCCGAATAGTTGGTCCCGCTATTCGTATTCGGCCGAATAGTGAAAATCACTATTCGGTACAGCCCTACTTTTAACAGTCTGAACATCTGCAGTTTGAGCAATTTTTCTTCCTCTGCCAAATCACACCAAGTTGTTCTATCCTTCGCTTTAGCATACAGCTCATCCCATGAGTTCCTCATCTTTTGAACTTCACTCTCTAGCTCCCCCTCTGCATGTGTTTTTTGGTCTTCATTTATTTCTGTGTCGCTGACATTCTAGATACGTTTTACTGTAGTTAGAAATGTGCACATTCCAGTGCTTGTATTGATTATTTTGATGCTATTGCTAACTTTTAATATTACTTGATGTGTGAATGAAATGATGTAAGAACGGAGGGAGACCTCGAAGGGCAGAATGTTAGACAGGCCTGCGTGCCCAATTCTTGACCTTTAAAAATAAAGTTTGTTCATTCGTTCTTAGGTTTTCTCAATGTGTGTTCTATCCAACACCAGCGTCTTTTCTTTACCTCTTGGTCCGCTGGAACTTGTTTAATTCTCTCCTAAAGCTCCCCATTAATGATTCTGTTATTCCATTTCATTCCCTCTATTCTGCGCAGGCACAGTTAATGAATATTTGTAGTTTATTAGTAACTGCCTTTGTTGTACTTATACTGGAAGCAAGAAGCAACAGTAAGATATGACAACATCTGCTCACCCCAGATAGAGATCAAGAGAGGAGTAAGACAAGGATGTGTGCTGTCGCCTAGCCTTTTCAACTTATGTACAGAAACCATTTTTAAAGAAATTGTAGAATTACCAGGACTGCACATCAACGGTAGAATAATAAACAATCTGAGATATGCTGACGACACAGTGTTGCTAGCAGAGAGTGAGCAGGAGTTGCAAGACCTAGTGGAGCAAGTAAACAGAAGAAGTGCAGAATTTGGATTAGATATAAATTTGAAAAAGACAAAAACCATGATATTTAGCCAAGAAAATAATCATCTAACAATGAATATCACAGTGAACGGGGTGAAATTGGAACAAGTTAAAAATTTCTTATATCTTGGACAAGTAATAACATGTGACGGCAGAAGTGAAACAGAAGTCAAGAAAAGAATAGGGATGGCCAAAAACATTTTCAACAACATGCAAAAGTTACTGACATCAAGAGAAATAAGCAATACATTAAAAATGAGAATTGTCAAATGTTATGTATTCTCAACCTTACTGTATGGCACAGAGACATGGACAATGAACAAACAACTGGAAAATCGTATCAATTCTTTGGAGATGTGGATATACAGAAGATTAGGTCGTATTTCATGGAAACAAAAGCTATCAAATACAGAGGAACTGAGGAAATTGGGAATGAAAAGAGAGTTGCTAGGTGAAATAAAAAAGAGACAAGTGAAATATTTTGGCCACATTAAAAGACATAACAGTATTGTAAAGATCATCCTAGAGGGAAAGGTTCAAGGTAGGCGAGCAAAAGGCAGACAGCAATACAAGTGGGAGGATAACATCAAGAGATGGACGAACAGCAGTATGAGTGAGTGTACATCAAGGGCAAGAGACAGGGCTTGTTGGAGATCCATTGCAGCCAACCTTCATTGTGGAGACGGCACCTGATTGATTGATTTGTTGTACTCCATGTTTCTGATCCATACAACAGTACTGATGTAACATAAGTATTAACAATGTTAAGTTTAGTATTGGTTTTAATTTCTTATGACATCCACAGATTTCATAATTCTATGAAAGCTCCTCTTGCCTTTTGTATTAGTATTTTAATATCTCTATCATTTCCCCGGTCTTTAAATTATTGCCCTCATAGCTATACAACTCCATGTTTTGGAGTGGGATATCATTAAGAGAAACCTCATTACTGTTTGCCTAATTTATTCTTATTATCTTTGTCTTTCCTTTATTGATTTTCAGGCCTAGCTGTTGTGATTTCGCATGAAGTATATTTTTCTTGCATCTGATTCTGTGAGTGGGACAGTAGAGAAATATTATCAGCAAAGTCTGGATCATTGAGCTGTTTTGTGGGGGAGGGGGGGGGGGGGGCACTGAATTCCATTCCTGGTGTTAGCAGTTGCTGATTCACAGTCCAGTCTATTGCCAGTAAAAATAGGAGAGGCGACAAAAGGCATCCTTGTCGCACACCTGTTTTTAAGCTAATAATTTTGGTTAATTATACCCATAAGCAGAGTTAGATTTTAAAAGTCACTGCATTAAGCAGACCATAGTAACTACTGATAACAAAGACCATTTTTGACCATGGGCAATAAGGAATGTCAAAAATTATAAATCCTCATCTTCTGTTGGCTTCCAGCATATGACCTATTGTAACATTCTGCCATTCAGTCTTTGTTAAAGCATGTGCAGATAATTCCTCAAGTATGAGAAGAATTGACTTTTAAGCATTTGTAATATTTGACTACAATAAATAGATGGCATGTCTTGGAGAATAAAAAAGGAAAGATTAACTTTGAGAGGGAATTGAATGACTTGGCTTAGGGAAAGAGTCAGCAAGCCAAGAATAGAATGAATATGGAAGAAAATAGTTTTGATCAAGTAGAGAACTTTGAGCAATAATAATTTATATGATCCCACCTGAAATCATTTCTTACCTCACGTTTGTAATCACAGCTATAATCACAAAGAGACACAGATCCTTGCAACAGGATGTATTTTCTGGAGGTAGTGGGGAACAGTACAGGAGGAGGACAGTGTTACATACTGGGCGGACATCAGCAGCAGACAGACTGGGAGAGTCTATAATGATAAAAGACAAAGGCTGTCAAAAACTTATTCCAGATGACCTTTGACCTTCAGTGCCAGAAATGGCAGTTGATGACTTTGATAATGATCACTTTAACTATCTCTAGTAACATTTATAGTTAACATTCTAACTATATCTTTAATGCAATTTATCACTCTTATCCCCACTGTAACTGCTTTTTTTTAATTACAGTCACACTCTGTTAATCTCTGAAATGACAAATGCAATTATGAGTGTCCTTCACCTTAAAGCTATTATGGCACACATATTATTGTTCTGGGCACACAAGTTAACAATATAACAACATTTTTTTTTTGGGTCTCAGCATACAAGGTGTCAATATAACATTATTCTTTTTTGTGTCTCAGCATACAAGGTGTCAATATAACATTATTCTTTTTTTGTCTCAGCATACAAGGTGACAATATAACATTATTCTTTTTTTTATCTCAGCATACAAGGTGACAATATAACATTATTCTTTTTTTATCTCAGCATACAAGGTGACAATATAACATTATTCTTTTTTTTGTCTCAGCATACAAGGTGACAATATAACATTATTTTTTGGGGGGGTCTCAGCATACAAGGTGACAATATAACATTATTTTTTTTTATCTCAGCATACAAGGTGACAATATAACATTATTTTTTTTTTATCTCAGCATACAAGGTGACAATATAACATTATTTTTTTGGGGGGTCTCAGCATACAAGGTGACAATATAACATTATTTTGGGGGGAGGGTCTCAGCATACATGGTAACATTATAACATTACTTTTTTTTTAATCTCAGCATACAAGGTGACAATATAACATTATTTTTTTTGGGGGGGGGTCTCAGCATACAAGGTGACATTATAACAACATTATTTTTTTTTTGGTCTCAGCATACAAGGTGACAATATAACATCATTATTTGTTTTGGTCTCAGCATACAAGGTCACAATTTAACAACATTATTTTTGGTCTTAGCATACAAGGTGACAATATAACAACATTACTTGTTTTGGTCTCAACATACAAGGTGACAATAAAACAACATAATTTTTTTGGTCTCAACATGCAAGTTGACAATATAACAACAGTATTTCAGTACAGTGTCATGTAGACTCAAAACCCTTTAGCTAGCAGGTCATGAAGTAGAATATTTGCTCAAAACTCCACAGCTAGGAGGCAACATGTTGTCTTAGTCTCTTCTGTCATAAAATAAAAGGACCTTTTTTTTTAACATTGGTATTGCAATGGGCATATGATGCCAGTGCCAAACTCATATTCTTATAAACCAGTCAATCAGCACCTTGTGGGTGATGCCCTCATAATCAGGCCAGCTGTCTTATTTACTTTCCAGGGTATTCCCTGGTGCCCATTTTAGGCTGGACTGACCTGGGAGCAAAGGTCAGTTTAACACACACAAAATTAATCCCACCTGAAACCTTTGGGGTGGCAGGCAAACATATAGTCATTATTCCATTGTAGCTGCCATCATGAAATATGTAATATATGTTATTGTGCCTTATGCATATTTATATATTTTTTTAATCAGTTTTGCCAGAAATGTTTTTGTGATTCTGGTTTCAGGAAAACCATAAGCGGTCTATCCCAAAAGACACATGGAACCTGCTGCTTGATTTTTGTAATATGATCAATGATGACATGAGCAATTATGATGAAGAAGGTGAGTAGTGTTGTTGTCAGTTGGTATTGTTAAAAAATGATTTTGAATCCTGGGTAATTAATAAACAAGCCAGATAATTTCTTGAGTCTTTGAAGAAGCGGTTTTACAGTAGAATGTTTAAAATGCATTGGACAGCCAAAAAGAAAAATTCAGATATATGGAAAGAGGCGAGAGCCTGAAGATAACTAATAGCATACACATCAGAAGGCGACAGTCATCAATTTTTGGACAAAGTCAAAGTTCATCTGCCTGAGAGGCAACAAACCAACAGTTTGCACACAGATAAAGCCAGATCTGTAAAATGTTTGTGCACAGAAACCTCAGGTTCTGAAACAAGGCCAGTCCAGAACTTTTTGCTGGAATTTTACAGCCAGTGAACACCAAGAAAAAGAAGAAAAAAAATGGCAATTTGCATGTACAAACTTCATCTGCTCCAATATGCTAAGAAAGGAAATTTGGAAACAAGGTTTTTTATGCCCTACAGCATCTGCTAAAAATCAGATGTATGCCTCTCTTGTTAACACCAAGGTCACATTGTATAAAATACTTGTAAGAACAGTTGCCCTATTTGGCTCTGAAACTTGGAGTACATGTAAATAAGGCTTTATTACTAACTTCTGAGAAAGTCTTATGACAAACCTAACAGACTGCAGTGGTTGGAGCATATAGATAGAATAGCAGATAACAGAGGCAGAAACTTCATACTGAAAAAATGTTGAATAGAAGGAAACCACAAGGCATACCAGGAGATTGTAGGAAGACAATGTGCATGCAGACCTACAAACATTGACTCACTTACTGAAAAGAAAAGTTAAATAAATGGAGATGGGTGACATCTGCAACAATGAACCTCAAGTGCCAGGAACGAAGGAGAAGATTATTATGACATTGAAGCCTACAACTGATTGGTTTTTAAAATTGGTATAGTAATATATTGTACTGCACTATTGTAATGATAGATTAATAATAGCTGTGTCATATTTCCAGTTGCCTTATTAATGTGGTGATACATTATGGCTGTTTAAAAATGCAAGTGAGCAGTGATAATCGTTTTCTTGCTTATAACTGTTTTCTTTCTTAAGAATAATTTGAATCAATTTGTCGAAAAATGATCTATTTTTTTTTTAGCCTGCGTATTAGATAGAAGCACTAGCAATTGGACAGGTAGAAGTCGCCATAGCGGAGCGGCTAGGCGCTCTCCTTTGATCAGAAGGTCGAGGGTTCGCTCCCTGGCAGAGCTGGACTTTTTTCAACAATGACCTTGGCTCCCAGGTCGACCCAACCTTGAGTGGGTACCGGGTGCAGTCCCAGAAAGTAAAGGCAGCCAGCATGATGCTGACCACATCACCATCTTGTGCAGATTGGTCCATATAAATATAGGTCTAGCCCTGTGTGCCCTATCTGCCCAAAGGCATGGAACAGGGTCTTTTACCTTTTACTTACTAGCATTAGGTCGATGTCTAGCCAATAAATATCCCAGGGAATGCCAGGGGCCGTAACTTGAGGGAACTGTATAGGCAGTTCAGTCCCCTAGGATTTTAGATAAAGCTGTGTTGACAGTTTAGTCCACTGGGTGCTAGAGTTCCCAAAGTGTATAAGAGACTTGTGAACTCTATCGCTGGACTAGCTAGATTTAATGGCTGTCACCTCTATGTCGAGGACACCTTAGTGGTCCTGGAAATTTAAATTCAATGGTACTGGTTTCCGGGCACCTTTCTGCACATCCAAAAGATGTCTGAACCTTTCAGCCAGATGTAAACCCGTTTCACTTGTGTATTTTATGCAACATCTCTTGCCGTAAATGGCGTAAATGACATTACTGCTCGTGCTATAGAATGCTTCACGTTTGTGGAAGGTGGCATTCAGGAATTCCAGGCTGGTACCCTGAACCACGTATGGACAGGTCCTGCATAAGGTTTGTAGCAAGAGACCATCCTGAAGTACGACTCAGAGGCAGGGCGTAACCGACTCTTAACTAGAATTTCCTTGGAGAAACTATCATGCCTGTAGGCCAGTAGAGGAGGTTCAGAGAAAATCTTGCTTGTGGTAGGGTCAGCCTTAAGGATGGAGAGATGCTTGAGGAGAATATTTTTAGCACGGATGTTGTGAGGATGATAGGTAAGTATGAAAAGGGTCTGTTGTGGTGACATTTAGGCTTGGAAACGAGAACCTCAGCACAATGGATAGACCGTGCTCGGTGATGGGCAGCAGATAAACATGTTCCGGATACTCTTGGAGCCGGAAGAAATCCAACATTTCTAGGGCCTTGTGAAAGTCATCGTTCTCCTGGCATAGTCTGCGGAGGCATAGAAGCTGGGAGAAAGGAATGGAGCCCTTGAAGGAAGAGGAATGAGAGGATGTGTAAAAAAAAAAATCATGGGAATCTGTAGCCTTATAGTAGGTACCTAGGTGCTGAGGCCTTTGGAGTCCACAGTGACAGTGAGATCCAGAAAATGCATGGATGAAGGTAAAATGCTTAAAGTGCAACGGATGCTTGGATGGAAGTTGAAGAAAAAAATAAATGATCTTGCAATTCAGGTAGGAACATATCAATGACACTGATGCAATCATCGATGTACCTCTTGTAGAGCTCAAGGAGCCTACCGGTATAAGCATGACATATCTGATGCTTGAGGTGGTCCATGAAGAGGCAGACATAGCTAGGTCCCATCTTGGTGCCCACAGCAATGCCGCTGGTCTGGTTGAAGTAGTAGCCATTCAATTTGAAAGAGTTTAGAGTGATCACTAACTCACGCAGACAAATTAAAGGGCCAGTAGCAGTGCTGACTCTATGATCTAGAAAGAACCGCAAAGCCTGGAGCCCATCATAGTGTGGGATAGAGATGTAGAGAGAAGTAACATCTATGGTGAAGATGTGATACCTGGAAAAAGAGGTGAACCGGATGGATTGAAAGACAGAAAAAGCATGGTTAGTATCCTTGATGTAAGACAGAAGACCAGGAACTGCAAGATACAGTCGAGGAACCCGGATATGAGCTCTGTGGTACAAGCGCATGCGGACACGATTGGTCTGCCTGGGTTGTTAGGTTTATGTATCTTGGGAAGCATAGAGAAGCCAGCAGTCAACTGTCCTTGACAAACAGAGAGCTGGTGTAGCAGCTAGATGCTTGCCTGCTGATCCATGGTTCAGGTCCTGACCTAACTGGATTTTTTTCCTTCTAAAAAAATTACCTTTGCTTCCAGGTCGACCCACCCAAAATGGGTACCAGCTGCAGCTCTGGGAAGTAAAAGTAGCTGGCGTGATGTTGAACACACCACCCACAGAGTGCCGATTGGTCAATAAAATATAGGGCTAGCCCAATATCCCTAAATGTATGGAAAAGGATTCTTCACTTTATTATGTACCCGATGCAACATGAAAAGTGTCCGTCATTAAACTTGAATGTGATCACTGTTGTTTGTTTATTAATAATAGTAGTATGGTAATAATCACTGTTAGTTCTTGTTTTAACATATTTTGTTTCTTTCCTTTGCAGGGGCCTGGCCAGTTTTAATTGATGATTTCGTAGAATATGCAAAGCCAGTGATAAACAGTACGAGAAGTTCAGTCGTATAACACAAAAAATATACCATAATGTTTTGACTTGTAGAAACGTGTGATGTAGGTCAGAGACATACAAACTTGTATACTCAGAAGCACACGATGCGTTTGGTTAATATGTTAGGGGACTTTACGTTATGACTGTGAAAGTAAATTAATTACATAATCAATTAGGGGCACCTTGTTTCACTTGTTGCAGACATTTGTGATTTTAAACATTTTTGTTAGATTTGGTTTTAAAATCTTGTTTGTATTTTGTTCAGCTTTGAGATCTTTGCTACTGTACTTTGTTTTAATGCAATGTTATTTTGTTTTTGTTTGTGTTTTGTTGTAATTATGTAATATTTTAATTGTTTTCTGTTTGACCTATGTGACATTTTGTTTTTGCCCCACGTCATGTGATCTCACAAAATACCTGTGCTGCTTGATGTGACTTAGCATAGCAAGGGAATAATATGTTCGTGTGCAAGCATAGCAAATGAATAATGTATTCACGTGCAGATCATCATCATTGTGATCTCATAACACCATGTATTATTAGATCATCGGTTACTGTTGGCTGTCTGATTAGTTCCCTCCACCTCTGTCAGTCACATCCAGTTAACCTAATTAATTCCCTCCACCTCTGTCAGTCACATCCAGTTTACTTGATTAGTTCCCTCCATCTCTGTCAGTCACATCCAGTTTACTTGATTAGTTCCCTCCACCTCTGTCAGTCACATCCAGTTTACTTGATTATTTCCCTCCACCTCTGTCAGTCACATCCAGTGGACTTGATGTTTGCATGTTCAAGGCAAGTTCTGTAAGCAAGTCTTTCTTGGTCTTCCTCTTCCCCTCTACAGAGCCCTGTATTATAATTTTTGAGCAACCAATAGATTGTTTTACAAGTCTGTACTTGTCCATTATTCATCTTCTCACTGTTGTGTCGGCAACTATCTAATCACATACAGATAATATATATTTTAAATATAACCCTGCTCTGTCTCCCCATCATTTCTGTGATTAGCTTGAGTGGTGAGAGGGTTTGGATTTCTGTTGTTTGAAGCTAGTTCTCAACATTGAACTGATACATCAGACCCTAAAACAGACAGGTGTTTTGCAGAGTGAAAACAGAAGAGATTGGCAACTATAATGATAATGATACCCCATAGTTTTCACTTTGACTTGTTTCCTCTATCTGTTTATGGCAGTTAATTTCCAGTTGTCACAGTTTGCTTTGATGCAAAACTGAAAGCAAATTTAAAAAGAAACAACAGATAAATAAATTCTTTCTGTGCCAGAAGACTTCAGAGAAATACTCGAGTCAATTATTACCTCAAAAAGCATGCGTTAAAAATTTCTTTTTTTTTAAATTTTAAGACACGGTATTTGCAGAGCTCTAAATTAAAAACCTTACCATATTTCTTTAATATGTTCTGACTAAATATCAAGTATATCA